CTATTGATCATTTGTATTTCTTCCTTGGAGAATTGCTTGTCTAAACCTCATAAAGCTTTAAAATATAATGGAGGAGATGGTAAACACATAGTAAACACATGACTAACAGCAAGAGATATTAATAAATGCTGTGAAGAAAGTTAGTAAGTTCTCTAAGGAAGTGACATTCAAGCCAAAGTCAAGTACAGCAGGTTGAAAATACTCTATCAACATCTGTAGGGTAAAAAGAATGATCTTTATAGTTTTTCAACTTTGAGCCCAAAACAGAAACCCGGGTAAGAAAGTCTAGGTCTATCACCAACATAAGCATCTGCTGTATGCAGAAGGTTTACTAGAGATGTGGGAATACAGGAGCACAGTAAGAAAGTTCCTTAAGAAAATTTATTTCATAAATTATGTATTACTTATTTACCTTAGAGAAAAGAAAACTAAGCAGTTGTCTGGGACCATGTCTATACACATCAAAAAACTGATTGAAAAGTGAGAAGTTAACCCAATCAACTAATTGTATCAATAGTACAGAGGTAGTGATTCAGTAGACTTGCTTTTCCACTGAATTTACAATTTAGCTTGATATTGAAAATGACTTTCAAGCATGTGAAACTCATACAAAAAAAAACTAAAACTTTGTAGCTTTTTTATAACTCCACTGAAAATAGAATTAATTGGAAATTTGAAAGAGTCAATAAATACATAAAAAGATGGCCAAGACAATAATTGGATACTGAGGTATATCCTTTGGGATTTTGATTTCCTTACCTATTTTATAATTAGTGATGAGCTGGGTTAAAAAAAAAAGTACTTATAAAACTGGGACAGTAATTTCAGAGCTAAGGGAGAAGATGATGAAATGTTATATTACCATTCCATGTGAGACTATGGAAGGTGAACCTAAATGGTAACCTAAATGATTAAAATTCAATTACAGACAGGCATACAGCAGATGGCATACAATGGAGCAGAAGTGTTGCGGTGAGAAATAACAATTTAATGTGAAGCAGCACAGTGATGGAATACTGAGACAAGGTGAGTAAATACAGGGAAACAGGGGACCCGATAGGGGAAAGATTGCGAGAGGACAAAAACTGGACTGTTATTTTATCATCTTCTTAAGGACCAACTCTAATCTGATTGATATACTTGAAATCCAAATAAATGAAACAAATCACTTAGCTATGCAGCCAGTTGGGTCCACTGAAGATATAGGGTTTTGCCATTTAATTTTACCTCTAGCTGAAGTTTGCTGAACTTTGTGATTTTTTTGTGCTGAACAATGATATCCCTTTAGCGCTCCATGCTGCTTAAGCATCATATGAGTCAATAATTTGATTTTTGCAAGTGAATGCTAACAGTAACAGGCTATGCAAGATGCTGGCCATATCTAGTGAACACTCTAGCTCCGATGCGCTTACTGGGGCTGCAGTGAGTCATCCCGTCAGCTGTGCTAGAAACTAATAATGACACAGCAAAGCACCCTTACTTATTGATTTTACATCCTTACTGTACTTGTCCAAACAAGGCAATGGTATGTTGACGAGAATTACTTGGGTAGTGCTATAACTTCTGTACTGTTCTCCTTACATAATATTAGCAAGATATTTCTTTCTATAAAGATAGTCACAGAGAAATACAGAACTTGAGGTCAAAAAGAGAAACAGGCTAGTGCCATCAGTAGTTCATCTCTCAAAATTTCATCGAGTTATCTTTCAGAAACAGCTGTTTAAGGTTAAAAAAATTCTTTACGAATAGTAACAGTTACTGTTGTTATTTTTAAGTGCTTTTAAGCTACAGAAAATATGAAGTAACTGTAATATTCAAAATGATAGCTAAACATTTTGCTCCTAGTCCAAAATTAAATCTTGATAATAATAGAAACTATAACAGTAAAGACGTGCCCAGTGGAATTCTGAAGAAATTAATATACTCTGTATCTTCCTTCACACTTAACTCAGTAACGGATTTACAATTGAGGGAGACAAAACCTTTTGTTTTCTTATCTTCAGAAGGATCCTCTATAGAAGTAGATTTTTCAGCGTCTTAGATTGTATTTGTTAAAATAAGAAGGTGTGGTTTATCTCTAAGTTTTGTCGGATACTAAATGTTGTTAGTATTGCATCCTGGTATCAGAAGTATCACTGGTATACCTTTTGTCATTGATTTTTCAAATATATGCCAGGTCTGAGCAATATGGTCACATGATGGTCATATCTTCAGAAACACTCTGAGCTGCTTAATACCTATTATATACTTCTGCTGGAAAATTATCTGAATTTCTTATTTTTTAGTATATCTCCAAAATTATCTTTGAACTTGTAATCACAGCAGACTTTCGAGGCTATCTGAGCAAAATAACTAAATTCATGAAAACATAAGTTCATTGAATCGCACATACATACATACACAAATGAATAATAAAGATTAAGATGGGTAAAATGCAATTGCTAAACATTTGAAGAGCCTTTAAACTCACATATATTAAACTTTCCTAACAACTGAAGTTAACCGGTTTGGGTCCTAAGAAGCAATCCTGCCACTGGTTAAAAATGGTAAGACTTAAAGAAACATCCAACACTGTGTAAGAAGCCATGACTTCTCCATTCTTCAGTTGGCATAAACTCATATGTCAATAAAACCTAAGGTTAATTTGAATGATGAAAAATACCATAATTGTCATTGTACTCTTTTATTTTCTGAAATTCCTTCAAAGGTGTCTGCAACCCATCAAATAAACCAGATGTATTGGATTTGGAATAGTTGCCCATGATATATTCCTCCTTAATCCAATGCTTGAAAAAGACTGATTTTGAAAAGTAAAGTTAGAAAACTTTAACTTTTTCTTGATGTTACTTAGGTTTATCTATCCTCTATTAAATTCTAAAATATACCCATAAAAACATGTTGGTTCAGGCTTTTAAACATTTAAGAACATACAGCCTGAAGAGGTCCAAATTTATAGGAATAGAATCCACAAACCGTGCGAATGTCTATGACTATGCCAGACTTCTCTTTTCAGAGCAGAATACTCCATCAGACAAGTTTCACCTTGTTTTTGGTTTTGCTCATCACCACAGAAACGACTTATTTCTAACACATGTAAAGTGGAAGCGATAGAGACCTAAATCTAACTGAATGTCATTTTTTAAAGTAGAGCTTTTCTGGGAAAATAAAAGTGGCAGGCTATTTTTCTAAACAGTTTATAAATCACTTCAAAGCTTTTGTGCTTTGATATTTTTCCTTTTTTTTTAAGTTCTGCTTTTTTTTTTAAGTTTTTTTGGGGGGTGGGGGGTAATTAGGTTTATTTATTTATTTTTAGAGGAGGTACTGGGGATTGAACCCAGGACCTTATGCATGCTAAGCATGCGCTCTACCATTTGAGCTACACCCTCCCCCAAAACTTTTGTGCCTTGAATGTGATACCTTTGAAAATGTAGAATTGGCCATTTCTATAGTCGAAAACTGTCAAACTGCTCCCTCTTGAAGATTCTGTATCTTGTTTCAAAAGAAATGCCAACATGACTCAAAACCCTTGACATGCCAGTGGAGTAAAACAGTGCTATCATTTTGAGGACCTGTGTTTCTATCAGCTTTTGCCCGGCATCACTGCTATCACACATCAACAACAGAGTGTTAGAGTCTAAAATGTTCTTATTGGTGAAGAACTGTTTTGACTGTCATCAAGTATTTGAATACTGAGTGTTTCTGGCCCTTGACACTGTCCTATACCTTACGTGGTGTTTACAAGTGAAATAGGAATCATGTTGCTGGCACTTGGTGAGCTCAAGGATTCCTAAGAGCTCCAAAGAAGTGAGCAAATCAGATAGAAACATGGCATTGTTGATCATACTGATTACCTGTTTTGTGATTATTTTTGCTACTTGCCAGCCTTGCCAGACCCCGGACGACTTCGTGGCTGCCACTTCTCCAGGACATATCATGATTGGAGGTTTGTTTGCCATTCATGAAAAAATGCTGTCCTCAGGAGACCACCCCAGAAGACCAGAAATCCAGAAGTGTGTCGGGTGAGTAAAGCCTCAAAGAGCACATTCAGATTTCAAGACTATACCATGAGAGTAGAGTATGTAAATGTTTAATTACGTTAATATCTAAATTATCTTAATAAAATTTAAATTCATTTATTTTTAGGCTGCCTATAGTCTTATGAGATCCTTCTTTAAAAAAGAGGCATATTGGCACTATGTGTATAATTAACCTCCAAGTACAGAAGCAATAAATGCTTCCCATTAATACATTTATATGGATTTTGCCTAAAGAGAATAATTCCTGAAGTCATGTGAGAAAACCAAAGAGAAGACATGGTAGCCTGTCCACTGCAAGCATACATATTTTTATCTACCACAAATTTATATTTATATTTATATTTCCCACAAATGTGGGCTGTTTTAAACATGAATCTTTATGGAAATTTTTTAAAAAGACTTCATTTAACATTCTTCTCGACACTAACATTTTTGTCAATGCTGTATTTATCTCACTCTTGAAATAATGTAATTCTTTCATAATAAATTAAGACCCTACTTCAACTCAGAGTATTTCTTCTTCCTTCATGAACACTTTACCTTGTGAAAGCTTCACTATGGGAAAGACACTTGGCATGGTCTATTGCAGAAAAGTAAAGCTGGATGGAGGATGTTACAGATGGCTTACTTTAAGGAGAGCAGGCTATTTGAATTTTAATTTCAGTCTGGGGCCAAAGTAATTTTGTAGATTTAGGCAAATCATTTGAACTTCTTGAGTTACAGTTTCTGATTTTCTTTTCCGTAAAATAAGGGCCTGGCTAACCCTACAGGACAGGCAAAGAGAATATGAAAATGAACATATGTATATTCACGTATGACCGAAGAATTGTGCTATACACCAGAAATTGATACAACACTGTAAACTGACCATACCTCAATTAAAACAAAATGTTGATACAGGACAGGCAGCATGAGCTTCTGTTTCTATGGCAATGTGGGTGACTCTGAAAATATCATTTCCCCATGCTTCCTTCTAACTCTCAAATCCTGATTTCTATCTTGACGTTTTTGTATATAAATGTAATATCCTCTTTTCTCCTCCCTTTTTCTCTTTTTAAATCAAAAAGTATTTAGCATGCCCTCCATGAATGGTTTCAGATAATATGTGCTCTCATGTCACTCTAAGGTTTCTTCCTGGCATCCTCCCCCGAAGGTGGGCACTTTGAGTAGGTGTCATCTTACTCACTGATTATCAGGAATACCAGGAAACACCCCAAAATAAAGCACTAAATCAGCATCCAAAGAATGACTGAAGATTTAAGGCCCACAATCATAGGCCAACAAATAACGATGGAAAATGCTAAAAATAAAAATTGATCTAATAAGCACATTTATTCTGGAAGAAAAAATCACTGAACATCCTTTCACCTTATCATCACCCCTTGATGACAATAGCATTTATTCAACGTTGAACAACCCTTTATTAAATGCCTACATTACCTAGGCCATATTGTAGGCTCAGGGGACACTAAGGCAAACACTAAAGAGGTTCAAACTCTCCTGGAGCTGACATGTAGGTGACTCTGAAAACATCATACATTCTAGTTGTCAGACAATTCACCACTTTAACCTTTCTCTGTCCTTTGTCTCTTTCTTTAAATTAAAATCTTAATGTTGATTTGTCAAATTTCACATTTAGATAGTCTGCAATGACCAACAGCATTATTCAAACAGTAGATAATTTACCATAACTCAGTGAATTTAAAAGATATTTGAAAATATCAAAACCCTGACCAACAGTATCACTCTTTATTTATTTAAAAAATATTTATTGAATTCTTACTATGTGCTAGGCACTGTTTATAACCTTTTGTATCCAGGGGTGAGCAAAATAAGCTTGAGAGTAAATCAGTAATCAAACAACTCAGTGCTCTGGAATAATCACAAGTCCAGAGGTCAACTGGAGAAACCTGCTAAAGATGGAAATATCTAGCCTCAGAACTGAAATAGTGCAGGTTATCTAGGAGAAAGCTATTGGATTTTTATCCAGAGCTTGTTTATTTATGTAATTCTTAACAGTCTTATTAATCTGGTTTCCAACTATGACTGATTAGCATCAGAAAAGTGAAAAATGAGCTAATGAGTCTAAAAAAGCAGATACTGCTGATATCTAGCTACAAAAAGGAACAAAAATCAGATTTATCATCATACTGTAGAATACTAAACTGAGTATTCAAAATGATCCCCAAATTAATCAGGAAAAGCTTAAATCCTGTCCCATAGATGCCATTTGAGAAACTGTGGGTTCCTATATACTCTTTAGAAAGGTTTCCATCAAAAACTATTTTTAAATAAATAAAGTTTAGACCCTTCAAGACGTAAGCTTCACTGATTCAGGAATTGTCTATTATAAGGCAGGAATGAGAATAAAATGGGATATCATCATATCTGTAGAAGAGTTATGTTTTGATTTCAAAAAACCTTGTTTCTTAACAGCTTTGAAATATCAAATTTTCTCCAAACTCTCGCCATGATTCACAGCATTGAGATGATCAATAATTCAACACTATTAACTGGAGTCAAACTAGGGTATGAAATCTACGACACTTGTACAGACGTCACAGTGGCCATGGCAGCCGCTTTGAGGTTCCTCTCTAAATTCAACTGCTCCCGAGAAGTTGTGGAGTTTCAGTGCGACTATTCCAGCTACATGCCAAGGGTTAAGGCTGTCATAGGTGCTGGATACTCAGAAATAACCATGGCTGTCTCCAGGATGTTGAATTTACAGCTCATGCCACAGGTAGGTTTCGCTCTACCTCCATACATTGGTTTTGATTATATTCTTTATTATCAAAGGATCAGGGTAACCTGGGAAACTAGTTAGGGAGATGCTTTTACTTTAACCTCTCTTTCTCTTCAGTCAAAGAAAGGATGCTCCCTATTCTGGACAGTATAGTGGTCAAAGCACTAAGGGAGTAGTCACCCCTCAATCTGTCAGGTCTAGTTTCTGACAGTTTTCAGTTTTCAGTGATTTAGGTAAGACAGAAACCTCTGAGCACCCCAACTGCCTTGCTTCCGAAATAGCGGCCAGGCTCTGTGAAGACAACTGAAGAGGAAGTGAGGGATAAGGGGATATGGAGGTCAAGGAAGACTTCTCAAGGAGCTGGTGTTTAGCCTGAAACTTGAATGAGAAGAGACAGCCAAGGGAAGATGAGCAAGGAGAGGAGGGCATCTAGGCTGAGAAAATAGCAAGTGCAAAGTTGAAATGTCCAAAGAATATCAGAAGGTCAGCATGGCTAGATCAGTTTGAGCAGAAAGGAGCATAGTAAGAGATGCATTTGCAGAGATGGGCAAGGACCAGGTCATGTAGTATCTTGTAAGCTGTGGTATGGTTTGCATTTTGTTCTGAGTACGATGGGAACTACCTGGAGACCCTGGAACTACTTGGCTTTCTATAATGCAAACCAACAACCAGAAAGTAAGCAAAATGGTCTCTGAAAGACCAAAGCAGGTATTAGAGCACCCTGCACTAAGTTCCTGCACATTACCCAGAGTCAAGCAAGTTCCCTTGGCTTTGATTTTGAGCCAATTTACCTTCATATCACATCACCCTGTAACTCACTAGATGACTATTTTCTAAGCTCAAGGAAGATTAGAAGCCAAAAGTTAGAAGGGAAAAAGGTTTATAGTCAGATTAGCAAGAAATGATCACCTGATAGAGGTGAACAGATAGAAATATATATAATATAATAAATGTGCCTAAGAATTCGAAGTATGTATCTTTCTGGAACAAGACTAAATAAGTGCATCTACCCATGAAAGGCTGAGCGTTCTGTTATACTACAGCCTAGTGAAGTTGATAATGAAAGTTCAAGCCCAAAACAAAACAGAAATAATTATTCTCCCCAATACCTCAGAGATAAGACTTTGGCTCCAAATTTCTGGACCATGTATAAGGCTAGTTAGGTAATAAGAAAAGTGGACTGCTAGTAACAGTGGTTGTTTAATGTAAACACATAATTTCCATGACCGGTAACACAAAAGGAGACAGGACTCTCCACGGGTAAAGCCAATTTTACAGAAGCCCAGGTCTCACAATGGACGTGAGCATGGCAATGTCATGTCACGTACTGGGAAGGGAACTGGTGAATGCCCACCATGTGCTAGCATCCATTAGAATTTTCTCTTTCAGTCTTCACAAGAATCTTGTCATTTCATAGGTAAAGAAATGTTAACTAACTTTGCCAAGTTTACTGGAGTCAGGATTCTAACAGTTTGTTTGACTCCAAAGCCTACTGTCTTTCCCACGTACCACGTAGCTACAGTAAACAGTGAAAAAAAAAAAGAATTCACTAAGCTAGTGACACAGTGCAACTGTACCTATGAAAGGTAGTAATTCTCCCTGGAATAAAACCACCAAAGCTGTAAATTAGGCAAAACTTTGCACACATTAGTCTCCCAAAATGCTGCTGCTCATTTGAGTAGATTAGGAGTCTGAAAACTCCAGCCTGTGGATCAAACATGGCTCTCAAGCTCTTGATCTGTCAGGCCAACAATGACTTCTACATTTTTTAAGAGGTTGTAACAAAAAAAATACAAAAAATAATACATGAAGAGACCATATGTGATCGACAAAACTTAAAATGTTTTGTATCTGGTGCTTTACAGAAAAACATTTGCTGATGCCTGAACAGATGATTACTTGGATGATTTATTTCACCTAGAATAAAACTCACCAAAGTTATTATTTAGACAAATTTTGAACAAACTAGGTGTCCCCAAATTCATTTTGTTTATTTGACTGGCTGCATTTTTCTCATATTTATCTCTAACTATTTAAATAATATCCACCGAAATATAAAATAGATATAAATGGATACAGAAATGTAGAAGGAAATATAAGACAGAGCTTGAACCCTCAAAGGGCTTATAATATATACATTACAAAATGATTGAAAAGCAATGACTCTAAACAGTCAACAGATACTAAATACCATGATTTAAGCTATTTACAAAGTAATTCATCAAAGAGGAAGGATGGAAAGGACCAGAGAATTTAGAAAAGTTTACGAAATCAAAGAGAGGAACACCTATGGCTAGTCACCTGAGCTCATCAACACCGTAACTAAAAGATTCATCAACACCGTAACTAAAAGATTCTGTCAATTTCCAGGTGAGTTATGAATCAACGGCAGAAACCCTAAGTGACAAAATTCGCTTTCCTTCATTTTTACGGACTGTGCCCAGTGACTTCTATCAAACTAAAGCAATGGCCCACCTGATTCAGAAATCTGGATGGAACTGGATTGGCATCATAACCACAGATGATGACTATGGACGATTGGCTCTCAACACTTTTGCAGTTCAGACTGTGACAAGTAACGTGTGCATAGCCTTCAAGGAAGTTCTCCCAGCCTTCCTCTCAGATAATACCATTGAAGTCAGGATCAATCAGACACTTGAGAAAATCACAGCAGAAACTCAGGTTAATGTTATTGTGGTATTTCTCAGTCAGTTCCATGTTTTCAATCTCTTCAGTAAAGCCATTGAAAGGAATATAAATAAGATCTGGATTGCTAGCGATAACTGGTCCACAGCCACCAAAATTACTACCATTCCTAATGTTAAAAGGATTGGCAAAGTTGTGGGGTTTACCTTTAGAAGAGGCAACATGTCCTCTTTCCATTCCTTTCTTCAAAATCTGCATATGTCTCCCAGTGACAATAACAAACCCCTGAATGAATACGCCACGCTCTTGTCTGCCTGTGCACATGCAAAGGACAGTGATTTGAGTCAATGCATTTCCAACTATTCTTGGGGGACTTGGGCCCACAAGGCTAACAAGGATATAGAAAGGAACTTCTCCCTGAGAAGTGACTTCCTGTGGGATTACACCGAGCCGGGAGTTATTCACAGTATTCAGCTTGCAGTGTTTGCCCTTGGTTATGCCATTCGGGATCTGTGCCAAGCTCGAGACTGTCAGAACCCCGGCGCCTTTCTACCATGGGAGGTACTAGCTCACACATCCAAGAAAATTCCCCCACCATCAGTTCCTTCCTTGCTTTAATTTGCAGATATTTATATAAACTGCTCTTGATTGTGTTCCTTTTATAAGTAGATACTTTCAGTGTTTGAACAGCCTGCATTTTTCTATCATTAGGTCTTTGTTCTTAAGGTTAATAGTTTTCAACTTTACCTTCACCTCCTACTCTGACCCACCAAAGCTGTGTTCTTCGATTTTCCAAGAAAATTCTGTTGATGGTGCTATTTTCCTTTAGTTTATGGATTTGAATCTGATCTTGCAGTTTTTCAAAGTTTCATATGAATTACCTCTTTTAATGTTCTTAACAAACACAAGACCAGGCATGATTAATGATCCCTTTTATTATTGCTAACTATTATGGATAAGGAAACTAAAGCTAAAAGTACCAGAAATATGACTAGTCTGGGTCTTCTGACTCCATACCCTTTGCCTTTCCTGGCATCTCTGGTGGTTATAGTACCAAAACCTCTAGTTATGACTCTTACTTATGGCCATTGCTCTAGGACTCCAGTGTTCTTCAAATGAATGATGCTAGGTCATAACAATTCCTATGATGGCTCAGGTTTAAATGAACCACTAATTGGGTAAAACAGTTTTTTTCTTTCTTCTCTTTGGTCATTTGTAGAAGCTCAAATTTGAGCTTAATATAACCCTATTTAGTAAAAATTTTCCTTTGTATTTTTTAAATGTCCATAAACAATGCATTCAAAAGCAAACTGCTGCTTTATATGATAAGTTTCACTCATTAGAAACAAAATTCTCAATAATGTGTATTCAAAGCCAAATTTGTCTGTCTTAAGTTTGCAGAATCATGTTCCAAAAATATATTTATTTTAAATTTGTTAGGGGAAAAAAGGTAAAAGGGAATAAGAACCAATTCCTCTAATCACATCAGTGAGTGTCTAGGACAGGCTGTTTCTGCTTTTGTCATTTTTACTTTAAATACCCATGAACATTAGCTCCAAGGTCTGAGGTGATCAGCTTACATTTGGGTGGTTCATATGATAGTCACAGGGTATTTTAAGTTGCTTACATTAAAACTAGTTTTCACCTTGTAAATGCAAGGCAAAAAACTTAATGAAGAGGTAAGATTAGAGATTAGCATTTTTATTTTTAATTAAAACTCTCTTTAAATTACACATATATATATATATACACACACACATATTTATATATCTAGTGATTTTTAAGGTGCCTGTGTGTTTGAAAGCATATCCTTTGTAACGTAAAACTTCCATGAAAGATTGGGCAAACAAAACAAAACAAAGACAAAAACAAGCAAACAAACAAAAAAACCATAAGTTAAGTGGACCAACACAATAAAAACACTACATGAAATTTTAAGAATGAGAGATTAAGAAAGAGTAATGAAGACAAAACAGACAATCAGAGGCAGATGGAGTACAGGGGAGGAGCTATAAAGAGACTCACAAGGAAAGAGAAATACAAATAGCAATAGCTATTTATCCACTAGTGACCTGGGAAACTATTTTAAATCAGGAATAAGTCTCAAACATTCTGAGGAAAAATCCTGAGAAAGTATAATCGAAGCAGAGTCTCCTAAAGTGTTTTATTTAAACACTAGAAGCCTGGGGTCATTCTTTATTCCCCTGGGAGCATGGCTATCTAGAAACAAACAGAAACAGACTGGAAAGGAGGCATCAAGGAGAGCCTTGCTCCTTTGATCACAAGTGAGTGAGCCATGTCTGTGCCAGATCCAACAGGACAAGTAATGCAAACAATTGTCTTTTTATGAAGAACTCTCCATAGACATTAAATTGAAAAGATCAGCAACATTTAGGGTTACTAGTCAAAGACATATTCCTAAAACTTATGTTGTCCCCTGGCAAAATTCACTGTTATTTAAATAATACTTTCTGAATGATTTTAGATTCAAATACCTTTAAAGGAGTTCATTTTCCCCAATATTTGAGGATAATCCTTGCTTTGGCTCCACATTTGGTGGTACTTGTGAGCAGTGTTCAGGGACAGCACAGTCATACTTGTTTTACTTTAACAAATTGTTTTCTGTTCCTCAGATGTGTGTGAGGATACACCTCCTTGCTGTGAATAGTGATTTTGGTTTTCTTTTAAGTTTTCCTTTACTTCGGATGATATACAAGTTAGTGAGTGATAAATGTGGGATGAGAGAATGTATAGTAGTCAAACTACTCTTCACACAATTATTTAGCAAATATTTGTTGGATGTCTCAATGTTCTAGCCATTGTGTTGAGTGCTGAAAATATTATGGAGAACAAGATAATTCTCTCCCTAAAGGAGTCATGTGTCTGGTGGGGTATACAATTAAATAATTAAGGAGCTGATTACAGTGCAGAACAATGCATTATAATGTTTTCTATAAATACAAGACAGTAGAGAAGCATGTAATTGAGGCAAATAATCCAATATTAGAAATTCAGAGAACATTCTCCAAAGATCATGACATTTCTGGTAAATATGATAGATGGGTAGGAGTTAGGCAGGACAGAAATACTCCAGCAAAGTCACAGAAAAGAAAGAAAGTATGGCACCTTCAGGGATCAGAGCACAGTGCCATAGAACTGTAGTCTTTTGTGGAAATTGTAGGCAAATAAGAGTGGAGGGTTAATGAAGCATCCATCACTAAGGCCTTGTCAGTCAGAGCATCTCAAACGTTGACAGACAGTTAAATTACCTGGGAATCTTATCATGCTGATGCTAACTCAGTAGTTCCAGTGTGGGGAACCCGAAAGTCTGCACTTCTAACAATCTCTCAGGTGATGCAGGCAGTGCTGGTACAGAGACCATCCTTTCAATAGAAAGTCCACAAGCGATGTTTAAAGGTTTGGACTTGAGAGAGCAAAGGGGAGCCAATTAAAGCTATTTTTAGACAGAAGAGTGACATGACCTGCTTTCCATTGTAGAAACAACATCCCCACTGCAATGTGCTTTGCTTAGAGGAACACAAGACTAAGCAGAGAAACACTAATTTGGTAATTCAGGCATACAATAAGGATGCCTTATACTACAGGTGTAAGTACAGGTAGTAAGAGTGTGGCAATGAGGATGGAGAGGCATATACGCAGACATGGAAGAGGAAAGATGAAGAGCATTTGGAGGTAGACTGAATGTAAAGGATGACAGAAAGAAGCAAAGATGTGGCAAATGATTCTAAATCTGGGCAACTTATACCATTTGTTGAGGTGAAAACAGAAGAGTGAAGGTCTGATGGGTAAGAAATATTAGGCATTACATTATGGAGATGCTGAATTTGAGTGACTTACGAGACATTCAGTGTAGTGATCAGATATTAGTCCGGAAATCAGAAGAGACAAGGGCCAAGAAGGGAGTACCTTGGAGTGATGAGGAAAATAATAACTAACAGTTTTAAGGGCTACCGTACTAGGTACTAACATCTCTAATCTTCAAATATTATGGTAGGTCCACAGGTCGTGTTCATTACATTTCATCCTACAGAAGTGGCAAGAGGAAGTGTTACTGGTGACTGAGACTCGCAGCAGTTTAGAGACGGAGGGGACCTCAGCAGAAGGGTCTGGCCTGTTGTCACCTGTATAGTTAGCAGTGACACTGCCCCAGCCTTAGTCCAGTATGCTTTCTGCCACATCGTGGAAAGCTTCACAAAAGAAAAAGACATGGGTTGGGTACCAGACAGAGGTGCGAGCCTGCTTTCTCTGCTGTTCTCTAACTGACTCACTTAGATTTCTCTTTTCACAAGCCCAGCTCACTTACGGGGAGCAACCGGGCAGCTGGGGAAACAGAAAACAGCATCAACCACAACAGCTTAACTAGAGCGGCCTCCTGGCCTGGAGTTCTCAAGAAAAGACCATGACCATACAGAGGTGAATTATATCATCATGGCAACACGAATCCTACTCTCTAAATTTGGTAGGGTCAATATATAGTGATTTTCAGAGTCTCCATGAAAAATAAATAAATAAATTGATGGAAAAAAGGCCTTTAATGGCTTAAGAACTACAGCATTAATGTTTAAAATTTACCTTAATCCAGAGCAAATGTTTGATAGAATATTCAACAAGGAATGAGTGCAATGTTTTGTTTGCCTCCACCCCCTTCCTTTTAAGAACAAACATAGAGCTGTGCTAGTTTTTTGTTTTTTTTTTTACATCATACAATGTTATCATTACTTACAGACTGGATAGGTGTCAGAAATTTACCCTGTTAAATCTAATTAAATTCAGGAAAAAACTGGTGGAAATTATAATTCAAACAAAAGAGGATATGCTCCCTAGAGAGCTGAGTTACCAGGGCTTACGTGCGTATACTGCTTAAGGAAGGAACAGAAGAAAAATCAACACACAGGTAGAGGTGGGAACATTGAAGGCAGGGCCTCAGATAGTCTATTTTTGTTCTTCATGTTTTTTCTTCTAGGCAATTGCTGGAATAAGGTTTTGTTGGTTAATTTCACCATGCTAGATCTGATATCCTTCTTCTTTAAAGTAATACTAATTAATTTACATTAATTAAAAGAACTAGGAAATCTGTGGGGATATATAATAAAATCAATACACATGCTTAGAGATTTTGCTAAAGTGATATTTGATCATTGACGTGACTATTGTAGCTAATATATTTACTTAAAATACAATTTGATTTTCTTCTACTCCATTTGCCAAAAAAAAAAAAAACACGGGAGGAAAGAAACATTCATAAAAAGACTGAGAAGGAATAGAACAAGAATAATTCTATTCAGATAGAACAATTCCTGCCTTGCTCCACAAAATTTTGCACCCAACAAAAGACACATAAGTATCTTACACTTAGATGCATGGGCCCAAAGTGTTCAGAAGAGGGTATTAACTTAGCCATGATTACATATCAAGTTAATGGTGGGCCCAGAATTGCAATGTTTTCCTCCCTCCTAGTCCAGTATTTTTTCTCTGCAGCACAAGCTCAACGTGGCTGCCTCATTTATCAGTAAAACATTTCCTGTCCTAGCTGTGTTGTCCTCATCTAGGAAAAGATGCTATGGAGTAAAAGGATATCACAGATTTGAGTATTAGCAAGTAATATATGAGTGTCAGGTGACATTATTAGTTGATAGACTCAAAATATTTTCGTTTATTTGCACAACATCCCTGTTAGCTAATAACAGGTATTAAAAGATACTAATCTGAATTTTATTTACCCTGAACCTGTGCCAGATACTGGGCTAAACTGTTTACATGTATAATTACATTTAAACCTTACAATAATCCTATAAGGTAGGGACTTACCTCAGCTGAGACCTAGAAAGAAATTGTAACTGTCAAGATCATACCACGAGACCAAGGAAACAAATTTATGGTAACCTGTGGTGGGAAGGGATAAATTGGGAGTTTGAGATTTGCCAATATTAACTACTATACATAAAATAGGTAAACAACAAGTTTTTTCTGTATAGCAACAGGAAACTATATTCAATATCTTGTACTAACCTATAATGAAAAAGAACATGAAAACAAATATATATAGTATATTTATGACTGAAACATTATGCTGTACACCAGAAGTTGACACATCATTGTAAACTGACTATTACCTCCAAAAAAATGAATAAGATCATACCACTAATGAAATATTTCCATATTTCATTAGAATGAGAGCCCAGGTATCTGCCCCAGAAAACCCATTCTGAAATTCACAACTTGAAAAAAAAAAAAAAGATGCCTGGATTTCAATTATATATGCTGAGAAGCTGCCTCCATAAACATTAACCTGCTTTCTCAAATTCACAGAGCAAGACTTTGGCAGAAATGAGGCTAGAATTCTCAAATTGTTGCCTGGTAGTTAAGAACCAACACAACTAGTTTACCACACTCATTGATTCAGATTGTTCTTAATTTTTAACTGATATTCCTTGTAAGGCAGTGTTATAATTGGGATAATGGATACACTTACAATATTTCTATTAGTGCTTGTTTCTGTTTTTTTTTTAATAGTTACTTGATGTACTGAAAAATGTGACATTCACTGATGGAGGGGATTCATTTCATTTTGATGCCTATGGAGATTTGAATACTGGATATGATGTTGTGCTCTGGAAGGAGATCAACGGTCACATGACAATTACCAAGATTGCACAATATGACCTGAAGAATGAGCTCTTCATTATCACAGACCACCAATCAAAAAATGAGCTCAGGAATCTTAAGGTAACTTTGTTGGTAGCTGCTTTGTAGCATTCAAATCAATTGGTACTACAACTGCAAAAGTCCTTGACCCCACCAGGACCTCCAGTGATCCTACTGCTTGTTCTCTGTCCCCAACATCCCTCCTTAAGTTCCACGGTCAACTTATATATCACTCCCTGGTACACACTCTCAAGTCCCTTGTCCATCTCTCTCGCTCCATCATATTCATTGGACCAAAGTATAATCCTGCTTAACTTGATACTCTCTGCCTAATCAATGTAGCCCCCATGTAGCCAAACTTGGTAAAAACAAACAAACAAAAAAAGAAAACGAAAAAAGCCCCTCACCTACCTTATTGACTGTTCTCACTATAAATTCATGACCTCTAACTTCCAGCCAGCCCTTAATGTTGCTGGGCAATCAGACTCTTACCCTAGTCCATTAATTTGTCCACTTTCCTAGATTTTTTTTTAATCTTCTTTTCTCTCCTTTGACGCCAACACATCTTCCCCAACTTCACTTTCAGTTGACCCTGCTTCCTCTTTCACTAACAAAACTGAAACAATCCAAAGGGAACTCCAGTGTTCCACCACACCTGTACCCACACCCCTGCTTTCCATCTGACACTGTGGATAAACTGTCTATGCTCCTCACCAAGGTCTGCTCCTCCAATTGACCTCTGAGTCCCAATCCCTTCTACTTACTCAAGAGTATTGCTCTGGCAACTCTCCACTCTCTTCTGCACCCTGAAGTGTTCCGCATTATCTAAATGGAGATACAAATATGTTATTATTACTCTCATCTTAAAAAAAAAAAGAACCCCATTGATTCCCCCACTTCCTCCTCCATATACTGCCCCTTCCTCTGTTTCTCTTTATTGTAAAACTCTTTGAAAAAGTTGACTATAATCACTGGCCTCAATTTCTTTCTTCCCATAATATTTTTGGAACTCTTTTCAATCCATCAAAATTCTTTCTCTCTAGTTCACCAATGTTAATAAATACAAACGTAATTTTACTTCACTTATTGGCTAATTATTCTACCCTCTGTGAAATGCTTTCTTTATTTGCTTCCACAACAGCACGCTGCTTTGGTTTTCTTTCTGTCTCTAGCCACGAGTTCTCAGTCTCCTTTGCTGTTTCTTTATCACTCCCACTACTTAAAAATATTGGTGGGCCCAGAGCTGACAACTGCTTCTCTTTTTTTTCAGAGTTACAAATTCTTTTTTATTTTTACAAATACATAAATATTTTCATATTCTTTTCCACTATAGCTTATTATAAGAAATTGAATATAGTTCCCTGTGCTGTATATAGTAGGTCCTTGTTGTTTATCTGTTTTATACATAGTAGTATGTATCTGTTAATCCCCAACTCCTAATTTATCCCTCCCCCTTCCCCTTTGGTAACCATAGTTTGTTTTCTAAGTCCACGAGTCTATTCTTGTTTTAAATAAAATTTGTATCATTTTTAGATTCCAAATTGAATGGTACTATATGATATTTGCCTTTCTCTGTCTTACTTCACTTAATATGATCACCTCCAGGTTCATCCATGTTGCTGCAAATGGTATGATTTCATTCTTTTTATGTTTGGGTAATATTCCATTATATATATCTCACGTCTTCTTTATTCATTCATCTGTCCGTGGACATTTAGGTTATTTCCATGTCTTGGCTCTTGTAAATCGTGCTGCTATGAATTAGGGTGTGTGTGTTTTTTCAAATTATAGCTGTCTCTGGATAGATGCACAGGAGTGGGATTGCTGGATCATATGGTAACTGTATTTTTGTTTTTTTAAGAAACCTCCATACTGTCCTCCATAGTGGCTGCACTAATTTACATTCTCACCAACAGTGCAGGGGGGTTCCTTTTTTGCCACACCCTCTCTAGCATTTATTATTCGTAGACTTTTAAACAATAGCCATTCTGGCTGATGTGAGGTAATACCTCACTGTAGCTTTGATTTGCATTTCTCTAATAATTAGTGATATTGAGAACTGTTCTCTTTTTTTGTCTGTACTTTTCCTTAGTGATCTCATCTAGGCATTTAAATAATGTCATTATTTAATGGCAGAAGGCAGATGACTTTCAGATTTTTATCCTCTGAATTTCAATTCAAGAAAATATACAACTGCCTAACTGACACCTCTACCTGGGTGTCAAATAGTCATTTTAACTGATTATCTTCAAGACTCTGCTCCAGAGCCTACCCTCATCTCAATGGATGGCAACTCCCTTCTCCCAGCTGCTCATGGAAAAACCTGCTGGGATCCTTGTCACTTCCCTTCATACCCAATCTAAGTTTTACTTTCAAAATGGGTCCAGGAGCTGACACTTTTCGTCTTCCACTTTGTTGCTACCGCACCAAACTACACTCAGTGCTCAACCAGATTAAGATAGTAGGTTTCTAACTGTTCTCTGTTTCCATTCTTACCCCTTTGTCTGTTCTTAAAACCAAAGCTAGAGTAAAATATTATACTCTGCTTATAATCCTCCCTACACATCCTATTTCTCTCAGGGTAAAAACCCACGTCTTTAAAACCTTACATTATCTGCCACCAGCACCTTCCCAACCTCATCTCCTGCTACTTTCCCCTAACTCTCAGCCTTTCCTATAAGCCCAAAGCCTTTCTCCATGTTTCATACATGTCTTCCCTTCTCTGAGCTCAAGGCCTTTTACCTGCTATTTCCTTTGCCTGTAATAATCTTTTCTGATGTCCACATGGTGCACTTTCTCACTTCCTTTCTGTCTTTCCTAAAATGTCACCATCTCAGGGAGGCCTTCCCTGGTCACTTTATTTAAAATTGCAATGTCAACATACTACTTCTTATATATTCTCCTGTTGTTATTTTTCTCCTTAGCATGTATCACTATGTAGCATTCTGTACATTTAGCTGATTTTTACTTTGTCTATTGTTAGTCTTGTCAACTAGAACTGGAGGCCTATGAGAGCATGGAATCTTGTATTTCATTTCTTACTATGGCTCCACTAATTGCGACAGTGCCCAGCTCAGAATAGGCACTCAAAACATATGTGTTGCATGAAAGAATAAATATAGTAATGCTTTAAGCCACTATCTTGTTCTAATTTTCCCAGTCATAAATTTTAGTAAAACAAGATATTTTTTCCTTAAAACACAGAAATGTAGCCTTCTGTGTTCTTAAAACTTTTATCATCATCTTCGTTATCATCACCACCATCCTCACAGCTACCTTATGAACCCAACACTCTGCTAAACACTGTTAATTCACGCTGGATCTTTTAAAACATGCCTTGACTCATTTTCTTATTCAATACAGAGAGGATTCTCTATTATAATTTCTGCAAGAAAAACTATTTCTAATCATTACTAAGACATCTTCAGACTTCACAGGGGAGACACTCACGACGGGGAGATGATAGGATGACAGAGAACTGAGTGGGGCTTTTAGGGACTAAACAGAAGGTGCTGACCACCACGGAAAGGAACAAGGCTTCCTTTCTGAACCATTAGTATTTCAAGGAAGTAGTAGTAGAAAGCAGCAATATCTGAGATCAATTAGGTCAGATTTTAAGATTCACTTAATATGCAGGCTACTTGGGGTCCAGCATTTCTGTATGTCATTAAAACTCACAGTCCAAAATATCAAATAATCTTAAATCTCAATATCCCCTAATTACCAACAGTAGACTTGATTTCTTTGCTGTCTCTTATGTGGGGAAAGAGAAGAAACTGTGCTGCTAGAAAGAAAGTTTTCACCTCTATCCCCTTAAAGATGTCCAGCTTTAACTCATAGTTAATTCATTTTGTGTCTTCTGAGTATCCTTCAGCAGTGTGGGTACTTCAGCTTTAAAGTTTTCCCTGGGGAATCCACAAGGCAGCTATTCTTGCCTGCTGAAAACTCAGATCAGCAATAGCTGTGGTGAGAAGAAAGCCAGTGCTTGTGAATTACAGGGCTCCGCATCTCAGTCAGATCATTTTCTTCTCCCAGAGAAAAAGATTAGTTAGTGTATTATTTTGACTATGTTCCAGGCTCAGGAATAGCTGTTAAGAGATCCTAGAGAAAGCCTCATTTATCCATTCTGCTTTGGCTTCCCAAGGGTAACAGGAGACAATAGCTTTTGTCTCACAAGACATGCCATGAGAAAAGGATTATGAATGGAAAAAATAACACAGCTGAAATGCAAAGAATGATTAGCTATACTGTAAACAGAGGGCTCCATAAAAGTAGAACGCTATGTGTGATTCACACTGTGATACATGGAATTGCAACCTAAATTCTCAGGATGACTTACATCTTACTTACATATCTAAGGTTGTTTTAAACAAATACTTTAGTGGCTTTAAATTCAATTTTTTCCATTGTTTCGCTTTTTAAGATTAGACTGGACATGCTCCTTGGACAGTATGATTAATAACCTTCTAAAATATAAAAGTTGAATGTTTTACTATTTTCTTATATAGCTGAACTATTTATACAGCACAGGAATAGAAATTGCCAAAGCAACATTTCCTTCTTTAGTTCCGTATTATGTATTTCTGCCTCTGCTGGGGACTTTTCAAAAGACCTCATTTCCTTTATAACTTACAAAAGTTATTAATGTGACAAGACTTGTGTTATTCCTAAACAGTTTCACAATCTGAAATATTTTCTGTTTTTTAAACTTGTTGACATTCCTCTTACACTAAGGGAAAAAAAAGACCAAAATACTATTTAGTAAATAAATCTTGAAGTTAAGTCAAAGTTAGTTAGGATACATCTTTTTTAAAAATCTACTTGGTATTTCTTTTCACTTTTCAGCAAATTAGATCTAAATGCTCTACGGAATGCAGTCCCGGGCAAATGAAGAAAACCACAAAAAGTCAACATATCTGCTGCTATGAATGTGTGAACTGTCCTGAAAACCACTATAGTAATCAGACAGGTAATTACATTCACTACAAACACGAACAGTAATATACCTGAACCATTTCTCTTAGGCTGATTTTGTTTTTTACATGAATCTTATTTTGGTTTATTTTTTCATTCGAAAAATAAAAACTGTCTTATGCTTCTGCTAAATTAAATTCCAGTGAAATTTCATTTTACCTTGGAATTTTCTCTATTATATCAGCAGATGCACAACCAATGCTAACTAAAAAGTGCAAAAGTAACTTCACTTCCAAGGGAAGATGGCATCCCTTCACCTGGGCTTCCTCTCCAGCTCCTCTTAAAACAGTGCAAGTTCTCTGTCAGTTTTTGTCCATGTATCCCCTCCACAGACATGCTTGACTTTTTAACTGGGGCATGATAACTATAAATAGATAAATGCTGAATTAACTAACCTGAGTATGATGAAAATCCAGAGGTGCCCAGAGGTGTGCACACCCTGGAGATCTTGCTATTCCTACCAAGAGGCCAATGATGCCCTAAAAAAAAAAAAGAAGAAGAAGAAGCTTTTGTGAGACAAGGAGATGAACTATTGACAGAGATGAGACACCACTAACTGATTGTTTGCCAAACTTGTTTTTAACAATTTTATGAGATCAGAGCAGAATACACAAAGAAAGAGCAGGCGTGAGGTCAGCAGTCTTCAGAGCCCTAAGAGAAGCTCTCAGCTCTTCCTGGAGTTAAGCCTACTTTAAAAGCATCATATTCCCTGGTTTATTGAAACATTCCTACTCATCTGTACAAGCTGAGAACCCAGAGCCAGAACAGTCCCCAAATGCTGATTATTTTTCCTTCTTGGCTCCATGGAGAGAAGTGTCCCAGTGTAAAGATCCCAACATTCATGTTCTATCATTGTTTCACAAAAATGCCACGTATCTCCACCTGAAATGGGTCATGTTGTGTAATTAAGTAATCAGGGGGCAGGGGGAGATCTTCCAGGCAGCATGGTATCTAGCAACTGTCTGCCAAGTGGGATAAATAAAAACATCAAGAGAGTATGTGGCATTTATTTATCATAAAGAGGTACAAGAGTCTTTCAAGATGAAACATGGGTTGCATTTTTGATAACCAGGACAAGTTGCTTCCAAAAACCAGTGTAGAAGACTAAGCACAACTCTGGAGGAAAAGCAAGGATGTAGGGTGACCTGAAAGGACATCATCCCTTATTCTTCTCCATGTCTCCGGCACACAGCTCTTGTATGTAGACAGGGCCCATAAATGTTCCCTGAGTGAATGAAATGGCAGGCACTACCAGTGGCTAAAGGGAGGACAAAGAAGAATGGATGTTTGTAAGGAAACAGGGTTTGGAAAGAGGCGGAGGCGGGAAATGTGATAAAGATTATAGACAGGAAAACAGTCTGAATTTGAGCTTCATGAAGAAAACACAGGCACTGTGGCGTGCCATCAGACGGATGCCCAGAGAGAGGCTTTTTGGAAGTAGCTGGGACCCCATCTTTAGGGGGAGGGAATGGGGAACAAACACAACCACATTCTCAGAGACTCTACTCTGACATCAACTGTTCACACCACCCTGCAGTAAGAATCAGCATAAATCATCTTCAAGCTTATCACTGCCTGAGAGGCTCAATTTTACTAACCTCCTGGGGGAAAAAAAATAAACTTCAATTCTTGAGCAACTGTCATTGATTACAATCTTGTTACCTCGCTTTTAGAGAGCTTTTTGGGTAATCCATTCATATTGTCTCCACTTTTAAAAGAACAGCAGCCTTATTTACAACAGCAGCTCCCCCCATACTGAGTGCCTACTGTGTGCAATGCTCCATGCAACACATTTTAGATTTATTATCTCACCGAATGCAGAACCCAGTGAGGCAGAGTCTTTTTTAAGAAAGAAAGTTGGAAATAGGCTCGGAAATTTCAATTAGCTTGTTCAAAATTAGAGGAATCATTAAGTGATCAAGGAAGGGCTTGAGATATGTCTGGTCCCAAAGCCCTAACTGATAGAGTCCCTGAAATAGCAAGTTCCTAAGACGCTAGTATCTATCTTGAGTATGTTAATTTCCTAAAGACTCACAGCCCAGATGGCTTTTTCTCTTTCTCTTTTTTTCTCTTCCCTTCTTCCTCTTCTCTCACCATTACCTTCTTCTTCGAGTTCTGCGCAAGCGTTATTTTAATAAGTACTGATGTGCCAATGATCTATATCCATTTTCCAGTCGGAACTATTAGCAAGGAGTCTCATTTGTAGCACTGTGCACAATCACCTGGTTTAAGTGTTTGCAATGTAACTGAATCTCCTCTGTCTTTTAGATGCGGATTACTGCCTTTTATGCAACAACGAAACTCACTGGGCCCCAATAAGGAGCACAAGGTGCTTTGAAAAGGAAGTGGAGTATCTCAACTGGAATGACTCCTTGGCTATCCTGCTCCTGGCCCTCTCTCTATTGGGAATTTTGTTCGTTCTGGCCATTGGCATAATATTTACAAGAAACCTGAACACACCAGTTGTGAAATCGTCTGGGGGATTGATAGTCTGCTACATAATCCTTTTCTGTCATTTCCTGAACTTTACCAGCACAGGTTTTTTCATTGGAGAACCACAGAACTTCACATGTAAAACCAGGCAGACGCTGTTTGGCGTGAGCTTTACTCTCTGTATCTCCTGCATTTTGACAAAGTCCCTGAAAATTCTGCTAGCCTTCAGCTTTGATCCCAAGTTGCAGAACTTCCTGAGGTGCCTCTACAAGCCCATCCCCATCATCTTCATTTGCACGGGCATCCAGGTTGCCATTTGCACACTCTGGCTAATCTTTGCAGCACCTGTTGTGGAAGAGAATGTCTCCTTGCCCAGAGTCATTATCCTGGAATGTGAGGAGGGATCAGTCCTTGCATTTGGCACCATGCTGGGCTATACTGCCATCCTGGCTTTCATTTGCTTCATATTTGCCTTCAAAGGCAGGAAATTGCCTGAGAATTACAATGAAGCCAAATTCATAACATTTGGAATGCTCATCTACTTCATAGCTTGGATCACGTTCATCCCGGTCTATGCTACCACATTTGGCAAATACTTGCCAGCTGTGGAGATTATTGTGATTTTAATATCTAACTATGGGATCCTATGCTGCACATTCTTCCCCAAGTGCTATGTTATTCTCTGTAAGCAAGAGACTAACACAAAATCGGCCTTTCTCAAGATAATTTACAGTTATTCTTCCCACAGCGCCAGTAGCCTCACCGTCAGTCATGTTTCACTGGACTCGGCAAACAGCAATGTCACAGCAACCCACCGCAGCTCGGGCGGTGAGTCTGCAGCCGGGCAGAAAAGCAACAATCTCCAGGCACAAGCATTTGCACACACGTGCAAGGAGAATCCTCCATGGGTATCAAAAGCTTTGCCTCGAAAAAGATTTTCAAGTATATGAGTGAGTCCTCAAGAGACGGTACATTCCAGAACAAAATGTTTCCAGGGTCTTTGCATTTAAGACGTGCATTTACTTTCTGAGCAAATATATCCTCTGCATTTAGTCACTTACTATTACTACCTTCAGCAAATTTTGGCTAACACCCCCTCTGTTCCACCACTTGTTGAACAGAGAAAATCACCCTCAACCTGGAACTCTTTTCACTGCTTACAGCCTCCATCTGCTTCTGTCTTTACCTCCAACCTCTGAGGCACACAGTTAAAGGTATCGCTTCTATCCAAAGTTGGCCCATGAGGCATCATCCTTATTCGATCCTCTACCACCTCCTCTCAGGAACCTCCCTGCACGGGTCTCCTTCTCTCTTGAGCATCTTTACCTTCCCACCTCATCTGCTCAGTTCAGTTGAACAAGTAGTCGAGCAGGTACCCCGTGCTAGGGGATATGCTAAATACAAAGGTACCAGAAGGATCGAGGCATCATTTCCGACTTTAAGGAGCTCAAAATCCAGGCGAAGACAGTCACGTAGAGACATCTTCAGTTCAGTGTGGGGAAGCCTATGGTTGCGATTATGCGTTGTATTCACTATAACAGTAGAGTACAGCAGTAGTAGCCACCGTGGGGTTGACGGGAGAGTTTCAAAGAAGGTTAAATGAAGACTATGATGTTTAGGTGCAGTCTTGAGTAAAGAGTTACAGCTAATCAAAGAAAGTACAGAAAGCTGTTCCAGATATAGGAAAAAGCAGGAGCAGCGGCAGAAAGTGTGTCAAGAGGGTGTGTTCCGGGAAGGACAGTCACTTTGGTATTACCAGAGAGAAGTCCTCTTTCATATGCAACAATTAGACAATGAATGAGTGCCACAGATTGGAGTTCTTTTGTGAGAAGCTTAGGTCTTTATCTTGCGGGTAGAAGCTGACCATCAAAGCATCTGGTAGAAAGATGACAGATTCAAAGTCCTATTTTAGGAAGATCACTCTGATACAGGGTGGAGGATGGGGTCTAGTTAAGAGAGAATTAAGATCTATATCAGGGAACAGAAATAAATAAATATATATGTATATATATATATATATATATATACACACACACACATATATATATATATGTAATATGTATGCACCCAAGCTATATAGGAGGCAGTAATTTATTTTAAAGAAGTTGGTGAAGGATAAGGTGTGGACTTCTAGTTTGGTTTATTGAAGAGTGGCACGAAATACAGGAGAAAGACTGGTTTAGAATAGAAGAAGGAATACTTAATTTGAGGTGCCTTGAATAATTCCAAGATGTGTCGAGCATTCACATGGGTATTAAGACTAAGCTCAGAGGCTCAGTCAGGACTGGTTATAAGGACCTGGATGCATGTTCACATCACTCCTATCCTTAAAAAGCAAATAAACATACAAAATATGATTGTCTCCAATTTTGACATTCATTCTCTTTAACTACCACTCTTTCTCCCTCCTGAATGCTTGAAGGAATAGTGTCATGACGGACTTGTGACCCACCGGTTCTGAGACCACTGAAATCTGGCTTCTAGATACACCACTCTGAAAAAACAGTTCACAGATAAACTACCTGAGGGTTTTTGTCTGTCCAAATTTAATGGTCATTTTTAAGCATTCATCTCCTTTGACTCTTAATGAGATTTGTGCTGTAATTCCTTCCTTGTGAAATTCTCCTTCCTCACTCTCTGCATGATTTTTAAAGCCTTCGATTATTCTTCAACTGGATGAAAAGTCTCTTTAGGTTCTGCTCTGACATTCCTGACCATTCCGTTTTGGTCTCTACTGCTCGCAAGTCTTCCTCTAACACTTAAACGTGGGTATTCCCCAGAGTCCCATCCTGGATCTAAACCTCTTTTCTCTCAACACACTCTCTCGATATAGTATTATCCATCTGCATGTCTTAACTCTGAACAGACAACTCCCAAAACCACATCCAGGTCATTCTCTAACTAACCTACCTATTTGTTCCTCCAATACTTCAAAGGCAACATGCCTAAAATTTAATCCATTATCTCCTTCTCCTAACCCCTCCTGCCCACACTGCCCATTTCTCAGCGTGCTGCGCCACCACTGGTCTAGTCGGAACCTGGGAGTTGTCCTATTCATCCTTAACTCCACTCTCTGCTTCACCCTTCTAAACCCTTCATCATCTGTCTTTTATTTTCTAATTCCTGCATTTTCTCAAAACTTTGCCAAGATCTCTAACCCTGTCCTTACTTCCTTAATCTAGGTCTTCATCATTCTTTCATAGATTATAGCTATAGTTTTCAAATTGGACCCTGGTGTCACAAGGTTTTATTCTAAACATAGAAAAGATCTCACTAAACCTGCCACTCACTTCCTCTAGATACATTTCTATGGTAAGAATTTCTTTCTGTTACTCAGTTGTTTTAAAACCTTATCCTGATGCTCAGGCTCTTCAAGTCCAGCACGAACACCTACCCATTCCCGCCTGGTACATTACCCTTGAGAGATGGCCAACTGCTGGAGACTGTCTGTACGCACAGTCCAGAGCCTGATCCTCCTCACTGTCTGGATGTCCTTGCCACCCCTTGTCCTCCTAGCTGGTCCCCCAGACCCAATTCAAGCATCTCCCCTTGTACCAATCCTCCTGTCTGCCTCCGTCACAAGACCAGCTACACTTTGCTGGATTTACTTGTTTTTATTCTAATTTATTTTACTAACATTTATCAAGTATGTATTATGTATCAGGCATAATTCTACACATGGGGAATATAAAAATGATGAAAGACAAGTTCTCTTCTCGAAAGAAGTTTAAATTCTAATGTTTCCACCATTTTGCAGTGAGCAGTCAGTAACAGCTCTCTCAACTGCTCTCTCCTCTCTACTGTCACAACTGTCATCATCACAATTTAGGCTTTTATGACTTTACCCCTCTGTTGTTGGAAGATTCCAAACCAGTTACCTATCCCAAGATTCCCCCTCTAATGCACGGAATACATCATTACAGATAAATCTTTCTCAAGTTAGTTTCAATATAATCATTCTCCTACTCAGAAAAATTTAATAACCTCCTATTGCCTTCAGTATTAAGCTACATTTTCCTACCTTGCTAAGCAAGACTTTCCACGGTTTGACCTCAACTCATACTAAATGGTCTAAAAAAAAAACCAAAATAAACAAAAAGAAAAAGAAAAAAGACATGAATCCTAGTTGACTGCTTATGCTAAAGGTATGTACATACAACATGGCGACAATATCTCATAAAATTATTCAAGACATAAAATATTCTGATGTACATGAAAGTGTTAAGAAATGGGTATTCTGTTTGCGATTTCACTGACTTATTGTTCTGTTGATACAAAAACAGTTTCTCCTACTGACATGAGAGCGAAATTCGTGGGAGAGCTTTCAGATTCTTGAGTGTGATCATGCAAAACAGAAATCCCAGCATTGTTGTGCCAATAGAACAATAAAAGAAATATTGTTTCATAAGAGTTGTGAGTTTTACTACAGTTACATAGCTTTCAACAATTATTCCAGGAGAAAAAAAAAATGCTACTCAGCCTATGAAATTAAGTTCTGAATCCTCTGAACTCAAAGCGACCTCCTTGCTACCACGTAAAACAAACAAGTGAATGATTATTGCCCTTTTCATTTTTCTGTTAACTTTTGAGATTATTTCAATCAACTGGGTGTAAGTTTGATAATTTTCTTCCTTTTGGGGGATAAAAGGCTTCCTCTCTTTTATTATAAAGGCGATATCTAAACATTCTAAAGAAATAAAATAAAAATAAGCAAAAAGAACATACAAAAAAGGACCCATAGAGTTATGCCCTTATCCTGCTCACAGAGACACACATACCAAAATATTTTATTGCTAAAATGCAGGGGTGGGGAAATAATTCACTTTGTACCATGGCTTTTATTAGCAGGATAAAATCAGAAGCCCATCAGTACATCATTTTATTCAATGATATTATTCCCGATTTTCCCCTCTGATACTAGATTCTCCACAGCTCTTGAGCTGTCTTTAAACCAAACCTTCAAACAGGCCCTCACTGCCAATGCCAGCAAAATGAGACTTCCAGAAAGTTAGAGTAGAAAACAATTAATTGCATAATTCTCAACAGCTGACTTAAAATAAGATGGAGACTAAACCTGTGATTAAACAGGGAAGGGTAAGTGACACTTCCAGTGTGACATTAAAAGGAAAGGAGTATGCCCTTCCCCTACCTCCTTCCCCTTCTGCTGGCTTCTATGCAGGAATGGAGCAGTCTTCTTGGACCATGGAGATCGAATCTGCAAGTTGAAGATGACAGAGCAACAAGACTGAGGAAACCTTGGTTCCCAACACTCTGGAGCTCCTTTTTCAGCCCTGGGTTGCTTATGCTTAGAAAATATGTAAGAAAAACAAACAGCCTGATAAATTCACATATGGGCTGCCTGTCTCCTTTAATGAGTAGCCAAACACAAAACGAATGTGAAGAGTTGGAAGACTGAACACAGCAAAGAAATGCTTTCACACCAAGAGCGCTCTATAGGAAAATCTCAGGTAACTGAAATTTCTTACATTTCACAACCTCTGTTCCTACCTAATTTTTCTGGTACCTGATATTGTAAATAAGATTACAGGAAGATGAAAATTTGAGAATGCCAGACCTAAAAACAAATTAATCAGGTATCTTCTCATTTCCGCAAATAGCCTTTTTTTCACGTCCATAAATACGTGAACTTGATCTGTTTCTTGCTCATTAAACATAGAACACATGACTAGAAAATGTACACACTGAACGTGTGAAATCCATTCTGCAGTTAACCAGTGGGTCTGTTAGAGTATTTCCCATCTACAGAGCTATCCACTGTAAATACTCAGATAAACAGAAAACCTGGGAGCCAAATTCTGGGAGTTGCCAGTTTACAACTAACAGAATCCAGCAGATTAGAAACATTGCTGTGCCCTTATATGACAGTGTGAGAACAGAGGGTAAGAGACCCTGGGTTGGTAAAAAGCACAGGAACAGTGTTGAAGGGCACCATTTATTATATTTGCAACCACCTATTTCCAAAAAGACATCGTAAGTGAATTTTTAAAAAGGAAAATATATTTAATAAAATTCTTAAAATATTTAAAAAAGCAAATATATAGTGGAACAAGGCAGATAATGACCGAAATTGAAGCTAGGAAGAGGGACTGCTCTTGTACTAAATTTAGCCATGGGCTTCAAGGCAGATAAGGGACGCGGACACCACAGCTCTCAACGGGCATAACCTGCAGACATCGTTGGAGAGTGTATAGTCTACGAGGCTTGTTCTCTGCTCTCAGCTCCTTCTATACTTGCTGTTGTAACCGTACAAGTCCCCATCCCTCTTCACAACTCTTTGAGGAAGTGTCTACTCTACGTGACAGTGAAAGGACTGCCAGTCCTGGAACACCACAGTGGTGGAAGGTGTCTCAGACTGAGCCGTACAAGTCCTGGGTCCTCTCTGCCCTTGGAGGGAGGCAGAAAGACTCTCTCTGATTTAGGTTTGTGAATGATAGGGCTTCCAACCACCATCTTTCCTGTCACATAAAGGAAACCTGTTTGAGACAAGAGATAAAAATGGAAAGTGAAGCGCAGTCAAGTGATGGAGTGGAGGTGAGGAGGGGGAGGGGAAGGAGAAGAGAGAAGGGGAGAGGGAGACAACCATTTGAGCACCTTGATCCAGCTGGGCCTAAAGGTGAACTATCCTTAGACTATCGGCGATGGAGCCAATAAATTTTCCTTTTTTTTCCTTCAACTTCTCTTCCCTGGATTTCTAGTATTTGAAACTAATGAATTACAACTAAAACACTTGTGTTTCACATCATTGGTTACATGTTCCCATCTGTAAAATGAAAGGCCTGGAATAAATCTTAAACTTCCTTTTGAATCTAAAGTTCTGTAGTTCTAACTAGATTAATATGGGAATTTCTTCAGGACAAAGGCTTTATCTCATCTATATTGGTATAAAATTTCTGGCACTTAGAAGGCTCTCAATAACTATTTCTTGTAATCAATTGAAAAAAAAATGGGCCAACCACTCT